TGCCAGTAGTATACGTGCATAACACACGCGCAGCCGAATCAGCGCGTGGGTGCGCGCGTGTTGAAGCACTCGACGCCATGCGATCGATCGATCAGCAGCAGCAGTTCTGCCTCTCTCTCTCTCCCTCTCTCTGTTTCTCTCGCAGCGAGTCGAGAGCGCCGCACGGGACCTGCGGCAGAAGCGATACTAGTGCGGTAGAGTCTCGTCGCGCGCGCAAACTTTACGTTAATGCACTATATATTCCGCCGCTCTTCGGGGCGTGCGGGCGAGTGGCCTCTATCGCTCTAGCCACGGTACAAGGTAGTAGTTGTGACAGTAGTTGCAGCGAGAGATAGAGATAGAAAGATAGTTTGCCTCGGCTATGACACCGGAAATATATTATATAGGTCAATATCGGGATTAACGAAAGGAGGACAGCGCAGCGAGCTATATGAGCCAGAGCACAGACGACAACGACTATGACGATGACGACGACGCAGACGACGGAAAGAGATGGAAATATAAATCTTGACGTGGAGAGGGTATTAGTCCTCTTAATTCCTAGCCTAACTCCCAGATGATGGTCTCTTAAAATTTAATTTCCATTCTCAAACGCGCAACGCCGCGCTCCTGCTCTCTCTCTCTCTCTCTCTCTCTCTCTCTCTCTCCCTCAATGTCGTTATAAAACAAGTAAGAAGTAGAGAAGGAAAGAATAGAGGCTTCTAGCCGTGCGACCACTACCACTGAGAAGAAGAAGAAGAAGAAGAAGAAGAAGAAGAAGAAGAAGAAGAAGAAGAAGTCGAGAGTAGAGAGATCTTTTCTGCAGAGTGCAGTTTCCATTGAATTTTCAATGGATCGGTAAAACAAGCGTAATCCGCAAACTTTTGACTCGTCGAGAAAAGATCGTCGAAAATATTTTCCCTCCCCTCTCTACTCTCGCGCCATCCCCTGTGCAATCGTCTCCGCGACTCTTTACGAACAATTAAGCAGTGGAGGTCGTTTTTCCCAAGTTAGCTCGTGGTGTACGATTTACTTTTGCGTCTCGTTTCTCTTTTTTTCCTCTTTCCTTGTCTGCGCTAATACACGCCATCGCAGTGAACCGCGTGCGATAAGGAAAGAAGCACTCCGATTCTTATACAGCGACGAGTACAATTCGAAAAGATCCATTCGTATCTCTCGAAAGGAGAAAGAATAAAAGAGAATACAAATACAGTCGCGTTTTGTCGACAAACAATATCGTGTGTATATAATTTTCCCCGAGCTATCTGCGCATATAATAGTCAAGCTCTTTGCGCTTACAATAATACAAATTAGCATTTCAAATATTTTCATATTGTTTTCTTTTTCTCTGTTGCAGGTGAGTAAAAGAGAGACTTGGCTTGCCGCTTAAGATATATAAATTCACGTAAACACAGCAGCTCGCTCGCTCCGTGAGTATATATATACGAACGTTTGCGTACAATGTTTGCGGAATCAATTACACCGAACGGCGCGTCGTGACGTTATATAACGCACATAAATACATAGCCGCGCTTTTGCAAGCCTATGTATGCTGCGAGTGTGCAACAACAATTCCACAACGCAGTGCTGCTGCTGCGTGTTAGCGCGCTCAGAAAGAAATCTTCGGCAGCTCTCGGCTCGTGAGCTGCTGCTGCTGCTGCATGCGCGCGGCGATGCACATAATAAGATATTGGCCAAGGGGAAATTTCTCCGACCTAATTGTATCGTAAAACTCAGCTAAAAGTCTCGTTTTCTATAATATCTTTCTATACGTATCGTTATGCGCTCTTGGCACCTCTATAGCCATACTACATGCTCTCGGAAACTTTGCATACATACGGCTGTTGGAGTTGGCTGGCACAAAGTGAAAGGATCGACGGCGACCGGCGCGGCGCTCTCTCGTATCAGAGTACAAAGTACGCGAAGCCCATATGGAAAAGGTATATTCATAAAATGAGCTCGCGAGAGAGTCGCGTGTGCGACGCCCATGAGTGTGTGCGCAGTGCGTTGTAATATACGCTGTGAAGCACGCCCATGGTTTCCCGCCTGCATTGCACAGTAGTAGTAGTAGTAGTAAAGTCGCGCAAACGTCGTCGCTTTCGAGCCCAATGCAAACAGGTTCACGCGGTGCATTATTTGCTCGGCTCGTCTCGACGCGGCCTCGCGCTTTCCGTAACATTTAATTCAATTTATAAGACCTTTGACTTCTTTCCTCTGACCTCTCTCGTGCGCCGAATGAATAATCGCGCGTCGACGCAACGCCGCACGTAACACAGTTCGAGCTCGCGCGCCACGGCCTCATCTGCTGCATGCGAGCGCACTTCAATGTGTATGGTTGCAACGTGTGCGGGCCCCGAGAGCGAGCAGAGGCGTAATTGCCAGCGCCGCGACACACAAATTGTGGAAAATCGAGTAGCGCCGCATCTGTCGCTTAAACGCGAACGAGATATATCCTGCGCGCGTCAACGAAACTGTCGTTACACGACGCACGTCGAAAGTGGGCGCCGCCGCTTTGTTACTTATCACACTCGTCAGCGTTTTCCAACGCGCTCTTTTCTCTCTCTCTCTCTCTCTCTCGCTCTATCTCTCCACCCGCCCACGCACACATACACATACATTCTCTTTCTCTCTCTTTTTTTCTATCGCCCTAAAGCGTGAAATTCGTTTTGACGATGTAGCCGTTATAGTGGTACGGAGAGAAGAGTCACTTTTATGCGAGCACAGGGAGAGAGACAGAGAGCTTGGGTACTGCTGGCGCCGCAAACTTTTTCGATTAACTCTCTCTCTTGCTCCTTCTCTGACCCTCTCCTGGTGCTGCAGTCGGGCACAATATGGTAGCGCGCACCTATATAGCCATTGCACATGACTATTCGGGCAACTTCTCTTTCAAGTTTGTCTGCTGCTGCTGCAAGCCAGACATCTGTGCACGTGTTACTCAACGATTGGCCTCTGTGTTTTCGAGTTGTAAAATTTTTACTCGTAATTTTCTTTCCCTTTTTTCTCTCTTTCTGCATATTACGTATATCATATTATAACGTATGTATACGACCGAGCAGATTATATTTGCATACGTATAGTTACTCGCGTACGATACACATGACGAAACGTTAATTCGAGCATAATTTTTTTTTGCTCTACTCTACTCTCTTTCTCTCTCTCTCTCTCTCTCTCTCTCTCTCTCTCTCTCTCTTTTAACTCTTTTGCCTAGCCTTTTTACTAACGATTCATCGCGCACATAGGTATAATTCACCGGTTAAATCCACTTGTAAAACTTGGCGTTTAACTGCTTTGCAGCTTTCCAAAATAAATTTAGATAAAATTACCTCGTTTATTATACTTATGTGCAGCTTCATGAATTTATATATTATATATATTACGTATATAACAGCGCGTGAGCTCTCGCATACATTATGTACACACAGCACAGTGCGGTATGCAATGAAAATTACTCAAACGAAATATGCGGCTCGAGTTGCAAAAAAAAGCACAATTTACTCGCTCTCTCTCTCGCTCTGCTACTGTTGCTGTTGCTGCTGTTGCTAACGCGCTACATCAGCAGTGTTGACACGAATAAAAATAGGATTATTTTTCATGCGCGTGGCTATACCATGTGTGTATTATATGTATATGCAAAAAGCTCGAGCTCGCTGCATACACACATGCACACACACGAGTCGCGAACGACTGTCAGCTGTTTTTTTCTTTTCCTTTCTTTATATATTCGTATATAATACCGACGACAAAAAAAATCGCATAGATACGCATCAAACTTTATCGACGCACGCAATTTTACGTGGGCACGTGCCAAGTCGATAGCAATGTCCTCCAGAGCTGCTGCCGCCGCTGCTGGTGCTGCTGCTAGTGCTGCTGCGCACAATACTGCCTCGTGTGGATTAATTTGCATATAGCGTCGCAACGCGTATACATATAATACACACGACCGGAGGCGATTCGGTCAAACAAAAAAAGAGCGAGATCGACCCAACGAATGTATAAGGTGCCCGAGAGATTTTCTCGTTCGAAGCATATCGTCTCTCGAAAGCACACACAACGTACTTATACACAGCAGACATTGCATTCGCTCGCTCTATTTGCGTCTTCTTTCGTTATATACACGTCGAGGAGTTCTCTTTTCTTTATAGTGATTTTTTCCGTCCCGAGTCTTGCTCCTTTTGCATATCAGCTGCTATTGCTTCTTTTTCTGCTTGCTTCGTTCTCGCTCGGGCGCTTGGCTGCATTACTGTACATGCAGGCACACACGTACACACTTATACGCAGCTACGATGCTATACACACTTCTTACACCACTGAGGGTAATTCGATTTTCGTCTAGCTTCCGTTTGTTCGCGCACTGTTTCTCCGTGTGCCGTTGTACACTTTACGCGCCTTTCTTTCTCTGTATACTTCTCCGCATAGCAGCTATTCTTTACATGTGCCAACTTTTCCTTTTCTTTACGTTTTTTTTTATTATTTTTTAATTTTTTGGCCTTATATATAAGCGCTCAAAGTACGTACTTTGAATTTCGATTTGCAAAGTGATTTTCTTGGATTCGTCTAACTTTGTTATTTTCACGCTGTATGTACGAGAAGGCTCGGAGCATGGAAAACGTGTATGTTCGTTGAGATCGAGAATGAGTCGATAATACGTTTTTGCACCCAGGACGCAAAACAATTTAATGCTCTTTTTGTTGGATTGTAGAGTACCGTTGATGTCGTTTTTGCTTTTATTCTTATTTTTTTGTTTTCAAAGTTTTTCGGTCTTTCAGAGTTTTTTATACATATTTTGGCGCTCGATTTATAGGGTAAGTGTTTGAAAAGGTGCATGAATAAAGAATTTACCTATTAATAGTTCTAGATCTTTTTCTAGATTATAATTTAGATTCAGTTATAGTTCAATCACACTTTTTTTCATATGATCTATATCGATTATACCTACTTTTTTCGCAATTTTTTCAATCGCAACAATTAGCTAGGTTTATTTTTAGAATAATTTAAATTCAATCTATTGTTTTATATCCATATTCTCGAGTATAAAATTTATTTTAAAAGTTTTATTTTTATATCATACAATTTTAAATTGATACACAACCTCTTAACAAATCTCAACAAAAATATTTCAAGATTTACGAAGATTTCACTTGTTTTGGTACTTTATTGTACTTTAACTTCATTTTATTGGTTTTTACTTGGTCTGAAAAAAAATTGACAGAAGTAATTTTAGAAAAATTGATAAAAAGTATTTTTTTAAGGGTATAAAAATAATAAAAGAACGAAACGTACCTTCCTCAAACGCTATGCACACATTCAACAAATCCTCGTTCTTCAGATTCTTGAGGACTTTTTGACAGAAGAGCATCGAATGCTCGTGTCCCATCATCTCCATCAGGGGCTCCAGTGCGTACCGCTGGAAAAATCCTACCGATACTCTCTCGCACAGGTACACTATGCACGCGTTGAGAGGTCCTTTCGGGAAATGCCACAGTAGCGGCGCTCGCGATAATTTGACGTAATCCTCGTACGCGAGTGGTTTTTCCGGCTTCTTCGCGGGTAACCGTGTCAGGTCGTAGAGCGTGTAACTCGGATGTATCTTCAAGTCTTTCGCCAACTTTGCGAAGTCCTCGTCGTCGCGCCAAGTTTCGTCGATCAGTAGCTCCGACGTATCGAACAGCAATCGATCGATTATCGATTTCATGATCATCATGGCGTCGCTTCGATTAAGCGTGTATCCTCTGCTCTCGAGGCGTTCGACGCAGGCCAGAGCACCGGCCGCGAATTGCAATCTGAGCCCATTTCCCTTCAACGTGCACGCCGAGAAGCTCTTGTCGAAGTCGCTCTCGCTGGGAAAAACGAAATTGGACAGGTCGGCGCCACTGTCCAGGAGTACGTCGATGACTTCCGGCAAGCGATTCAGGACGGCCAGCTGCAGCGGTGTTCGGCCGTGCTTGTCCAGGGCGTCGATTTGCACCGGATCGCCGATCTCGTCGCAGATGTCGACTATCATCTCGAATATCATCGCCAGCTCTTGGCCGTCGTCATGCATCATGGTAGCGGTGTGAAGAACGTTCATTCCGTTCTCGTTTGTCAAATTCGGGTCGGCCCCGTTCTCCAGCAGCACTCGGACGACGTCGCAGTGCTCGAACGTCACGGCCAGGTGTAGCGGCCTGTCGCCTGATTCCTCGTCGAGGATCTCGTCGGGATCGTGGCCGTAATCGAGGAATTGTTCCACCACCTCGGCGCAGCCCGACTCGATGGCCACTTGAAAGTGCGTGATGCCGTCACTGCTGATGTAGTTCACGTCGAAACTGTCGTATATTTCAAAGAGCAGGGGTATCAACTGATCCTCGAAGCAGGAATCATACACTTTGTGTATCGGTGTATCGCGATGCAACACGGGCTTGTTGTCTTTGTCCAGGTCGGGCTCGTCCTTGTAGCCGGTTCGGACCACAAAGTCGACGAATGAGACTGGATCGCTTACCAGAGTTTCGCACTGTACGCACTCTGTGAGCATCCAATCCATTTCCTCTCGCTCGAAGAGGTCGTGGAGATCGGGAAGATGGTCTTTCCATCCGACGATCAAGTGTTGGAATTTATGGAAAAACGATTGGCGCTCTTCTACGTCCTCCCAGTCGAGCTCTTCTCGCAAGCTCTTGAATTTTTCTAGTTTTTCTTCATCTGTTTGCTCGGTGTTTGTCAGTGCGGTAGCCGTGTCTGTGGAAACGACAAATTCGATCAAAGAATCATCACAGTCAGTAGAATCGTTGTTGGAAATCGCCATCGTTTAGCTCGAACGTATTATCTTCTCGAGAATCACTTGCTGTTTACTCTGTGGCTTCGTAACGTATACTGAACCGAACGACACATAACACGAAAATATGCTGTTCTCTCAACTGACACATTTTGATTGTATGTTGGGCTTGGCGCCTAAATAATATTGTAAACATGGACTACGACACAACGAATAAATGATCAAATGCCTTACTTTTCGAATAAATATTTAATTCCTGAATTTGAATAAAGAGCTTCAAAATAGTCCCAAACACATTCGCGTTGATTCATTTTTAAAGAAAATTTTTCGATACTCAGACTCATATGACAGTAAGAAAAGCAGAGAAAGAGAGCGAGAGAGATACGTTCAGCCGTAATGGCAAAGCAGTAGCAGCGGCAGAGGCAGCATCATTACGAGCAATTACGACTCATTTCCCTCGAAGTTACGTTGAATGTGCGCTCAGCACTGCACATAGACATGGTAGGGATGGAGAGAGAGCTCGAGTTGCATTTTCGTACCGTACTGTAAATTCCCCGATCTTGCTCAGCCAGAAGAATGTCGAAAAAGAGGCAGATGAAAATAAAGAGGCATAACAACGATTCTCCGCGCTTATACACATTGTATATACGTATAGGTACATACGATATACGTATACCAAGAGAAGGAGAGCAAGAGCAAGACAACGAAAGAGCGGGAAAGACAGATATATCTCGTTTACGGTGCACCACTGCACATCGGAGAGTATCTTCATATATACTTGCGCGCACACGAGTTCGAGAGACTCGAGAGAGATAGAGAGTGCAGAGCAAGAAGTGTAAGAGGGGAAAAGGAAGAGAGAAAAAAATCGAGAAGAAACGATCGCGAACGAATAAGAGGTATATACGCGCGTTTAAGTACAGAGAAGAAGGAGGAAAAGAACGTCGAAATGAGAGAGAAAGAGATAGAGAGAGAGAGAGAGAGCGAGTGGGAGACAGAGAGGAGAAAGAGCATGCGAACAAATCACCCAGAGTGAGCGAGAGAGGAAGCTCGCAGTGTAGATGCTATTATTTCCTCCAATCATTTCCGGCCACTTTTGTCGGTGACACGCTAGTTCTCTCGTCGTCGTCGTCGTCTTTCCGTACTTATACAGAGCGTATATACATACGTCGAGTAGTAGTCGTTCATGCCGAACAGCTGAGATGGAGAGAAATGCGCGGAAATATCTGCTCGCGATGCAGTTACACTCACACACGCGTACAGCGCAAAATCATGAAGCTTAGTCGACAGCGCGCGCGAGCGAGGGAAAATTCGCAGAATTTTTATTACTCGGCTCGTTCTGCACGATTTAGCCATCAATAACGCGTGACTTATACGAGATATTTTGTCGCGCGCGCAGTAATCGACAACAAGGTATATATTATATCGGCTGCATAGCGAGTCCTCTGATCCGCGTAATACACTATAACGTTTATACATGTACGTAACATCGGGAGTGCGCCGCACGAAGGAAAATCTATCACGTTCGAGAGTTTTTAGTGAAAAAGGGTAAAAAATAAAAAATAAATAAATTTTGATGGATGCATTTCTTTCTATCCCTGTATAAAAAGTATTGGTATATAGCAGCCGGGGAAAAGCTCGCCTCGAGAGCTGCCAAGAATAAGAATCGCTCGTGAGAGAGAGAGAGAGACGCGCGCCAAAGTGGTTCATGTACATCAAGTCCCGGATGATCGGTGCGCTCCGATGCGCTTTATTACGCTTGCAAAGCTCTCGAGTCCTCGGCGCGCGCGCGAGGTTCAACTTTATATATCTGTATACATACTAGACCGAAGATATATACGCTACATGGCGCACAGACGGTCTAGGCCAAAGGCTGGGAGGGAGATCTCGAATTAAGTGCATTAAAATCATGCACGCGCGAGATGACAGGATAAACGCGCGTGCGGTGAAGTACGGCTCGCAGCTCTGGCATGGCACGAGCGAGATAGAGAGAAATAGAGAGAGAGAGAGAGAGAGAGAGAAAGAGAGAAAGCTGTAAACTGCATTTATGTCATGAATCGCAACAGCTGCTGCTGCTGCTGCTGCTTGCCTTGAAGGAAGATCCCGATGTTGTATGTCTGCTATAATTCTCGAGTTCAGCTTCGCGGATGCGGGTTTATGATGCGCGCACAAGACGATAATATAAGCAAATTCAATAAACTCGGCAGTTTCCGAATGAATTGGCTCAACATCCAATTATACACGATTTAAATGCGGCGTCGGTAGCATTGTAACGATTATATACCGCGTTGCGAGAGAAAAAGAGAGTCTAGAGGAAGCGCGAATCGTATTTCAATTAGCGTCGAAAGGTATCCAAGGAAAAAAAGTGAATAAGCCAAGAAAGGACGCTATAGCTACACTATACGTTGTAACGAGGAAAGGTCAGGTGCGATGATCGAATGGTTTATAGTAGCCGTGCCCGAACGGGTCTGTATACATTAAGCTCGAGCTTTTCGGAAGTACGCGTCCATTGTATGCGTGCGGCGATCGGACGCTCATCGTGCATGTATACAGTATCGGAGAGCTTTTGATTTATGTACACGGAGCGGGTGTCTCGGGGCACCGAGAGATGGACGAAGGCCGGTCGCTATACACGTACGTTGCTCGCAGATAATATCATGCGCGCATTAAACGGCGTAGTGCGTCTGCTGCCCGCTCGCCCGCCTGCGCGCACACGATATTATTATACACATAGGTAGTGCGATCGAGCTTTAATCTCGCAAGCTCGCGCGCACGCGGTTAACGACTCGGCGAATTAGGCCAATGGATATAGCGTATACGGCGTGCCTCACGGGCGGCGCATGCCACGGATCTTGCAGCATAGCTTGCAGCAGCAGCGCCAGTCTAGTTTATTTCGATATACACGTATTATGCACATAGGCCCTATTGCGCCTCTCTCTCTCTCTCTCTCTCTCTCTCAGCTATATAGCTTAACAGCTCAGCTTACGCTTCATTTTAGCCGTTGCCGCCGCTGCTCGTGCGCTGCTGTATGAAGCAGCTAAGGTCTTTTGTCCCGCTGAGCGCTGACGTTTTCTTGGCAGGATGTATAAATATACACTACGCACACACAGACACGGACAATTCAAGTTGTTAATCGCTGCGCGCAGCCTGGGCGTGCTTTTATATATATAAACACGAGGTGTTGAGCGTGAGATTCATTATCATCCGAATTACCGCAGTCTCTGTGTATATAACGCGCAAAGAGCGTATTTAGCGACGACGACGACTACGCTCGAGTCGATAAATCAAAAACTTACGCCACTCAATTCGCCGTATTAATCTTGTCGAAGCTCCTCTTCTCTCTTTCTCTCTCTTACTTACTTTGGCTTGGAGCGCTCGCGAGAGGAGGGCATCATTTCTCTCTCACTTTCGGAGCGCGTAATATAATTGTGGCAGTATAATTCACTACGTTGATACGGCCATCGAGCCTTAATAGCGTTTCTTACGGATGGTACTCTGCTCGCTTACAGTGCACACAGACTTCGTAGAGCTTATTTACGCTGAGAAGTGTGTGTATACGTTATAAATGTGTTGTGCAACTGTGCGTGTGTGTGTGTGTTTGTGGGGGGGGGNGGGGGGGGGGGGCTATCTGTAAAGCATACCTATATACACAGCTCTCCGTGGAGATTACACGGCTGTGTATACGCTACAACGCGAGAAACGGACGAGACGAGAGAACGAGACAGAGAGAAGAGGAGGAGGAGGAGCTTTCTAGAACACGAGCATTGCGCAGCTGTGTGCAAAGTGCTCGACCAATTAGCGATAATTATCTCATCTTTTCACGTGCAAGTGGCGTAGGGACGTAGACGACGACGACAACATGTATACGAATCTATATAAATATACCGCGCATGTTTACATCACGTATGAGTCGCATACTCGAGGCTCGCGTCGGCTCTCGACTCGCGACTTTATTGAAAAAAAATTCCAACTTTGAAGATCCGAGTCTGTAATAACGTGATATATTATGATTCAAGTTTGCACACATTTATCCGAGTCGGATGCGTTAGCTTTGGAAACATCTCAGAGTGTCTACAACCGAAGCAGACTTGTAAGCTGCTTTTGTACCAGCTCCGTTATATGCACTCTAACAAAACATGTCCGTGACTCAAAGGACAAGTTTGCAGCTTGTAAACACAATGTCTTGCGCTCAGCGATTCCTCTTACTTATTCTTCTTCTATTAAAAATATATAGTCAACTCGGAGAATTAAAAACAAACTCGAGCAAAATTCAGATGCTTCTTACGCTGTAAATGTTATTTTGCTTGATGAAACATTTCAATTTAAATGGGGTTTCTGACAAGTAAGAGTATGCATGAAATTTATTTCGGTGTAGATGAAACCGGTGAGAGGATCGCGAGAGAGACGATAATAATGTAGCCTAGAGGCGACCGATCAAACACTACAAAATGTAACAGTGGCCTAGCATGACGACTAATATACACTGAAAAAATTTTGCACTGAATAATAGATCTCTACAGCGTGAATACATCTTATATTCATCAAATGAACAACTATTTATGACACAGTGAACAGAAAACAGTATACTAATATTTTGAAGGGAATCATTTGTCACTGTGACAAGAATTTGGCTTCACGCGTGACGGTATATTGCGATATCGACAATGCACATGTCAGAACCACCGTAAAGCCAACGCTTGAAATCAATTACGGCTACGCATGGAACTATTTATTAGCTGGCTGGCTATAACATATATGTATACAAAACGGATAAATTAATTTTTTTCCGTGTAAACTTATTAGAAACTATCATTTGATACACATATTCATGCTTATGAAGTCATTGAAACAAATCGCCACATTTATGTAGAGGTTCAATCACTAACCAAAACTTCACCATTGTTATTTGTTGAACTAGTTAATAATAATGATGTTTTTACTAGGCATAACTGATAAGCGATATTTTTGTTACCTTTGTAAATAATATTGATAAGTACAATAAATCACGACTATTTTACTGCAATATTTTATAAATCTTTTTTTTTTAAATAACAAAGTTTTTACAATATTTTCGAATATTATAAAGAAAATAGGCTCGTTTATGTAAGATTTTACTTAAATATAGTCCAATCGTCGAATCGACAACAAAAAGTG